TTGCCCAGGTCAGAATACATCTGACTAACATTATCCCACAATTTTTTTGTAGTAGGATAGCACATGTAATTAGAGCTTATGTCCTCCTCCATGGAATTGACCAGCCATGTCATAACCATGGAGTTTTCAGCATCCCAAGTGGCGTACAGCGGATCATCAACAACATGAGCCTTCATATCACCAATGATGTAACCGATTTTCCCTTGCCCACGAATATACATCCGGACTGATTGTGACCATTGGAGGAAGTTGTCACCATTTAAGCAGATGGTGGTGATTTGGACGGATTGAGAGATGGAGTGGTGTTGCAGGGTTTCAGACGTTTTTTTCAGAGTGGTCGCAGTAGGGGTTGAGGTGATTTCCGATGCGACTTCGGACATGGCTACAATGATTTTGGAGTTGCTGTGTTTTAGGGTTAAGACATGATTATAGCTCTGGTACCAACTTAGAAAAAATGAAGAAATAATATGTGTCTTATTTCTTGAATGAGTACAAGGCTTCCTTTTATACAGAGGGAAATTACAAAAAAAAAGGAAACTAATTAGAGTCAATATTTGATAGCTTCTACTTTCCTATTTTGTCTTGATTTACAGCTTTTACTTTCTATATTTACATAGAAAACATATCCTAGAATATCTCACGGATTATGGCTAAATCAAGGCTTTCAATGACCGAATTTTCAACAGTTAGTTTACTCAGCTCATAATATTTGATCTCTTAGCCAGATATACTTGAAAACTGTTTCTTAATCATCTCATGCTTGCAACTTAGTAGAGTTTGTTTCTTTTACAAATTTCAAACCTGTTGGTGTTGATGCCAATTTTCCCTTCTAATTATAATAAATGAAGATCAAAGTATCTTGTTTTTTTTCCTGAAATATTGCGTTAAATGCTCTCAATATGCAGTGTGATTTTCAAGCAATATATGCCAGTGGTATAAAAGGGGAAGGCAGGACTATCTCCGGTCAATTGACAAAGATGCATTGCTGGTCCACATATTGACAAAGATGGTGCACTTCAAATTCTTGTCAGTGGTTTTTTCCCCTCACCTGACTCTCATTTATATCCTGTTTTCCTGGTTAATTATGGTTATAGTACCTAAAACTATGCTATAATCACTTGTTCTCGAATCCGAGATAAGGCCAAAATGTTGCAATGGCTATGTTTAATTGAATTTTATGCTTAGAAGTTGTTCAGTCTTTATTTTTCCCTCGCAAGTACCTTTTTTTTCCCCCTCAAACTAAGATTAATCTGTGAACTTTTGACAAGAAAGATAATTGCTACTTGTCCATTTGCCTAGAAATAACTGACATGTAATCGATACAATGGTAAATATAAATGGATATGGTTAGCAGATTAAATGTTAGCCTGTCTCGGTATGCTATATTTGGTATTTGACATTACATCTATATGACTCAGCAGCGAGATATATGTATTTAGTTCCAGTAAATAACTTTATTGGATGAGACCAGAAGTTGTAATTAAAAGGTTTCCTTGCAGTTAATTTCAAGGGGAACTGAGAAAGTATGTTGCTTAATCTTGTCTGAATGTATTTTGGGTTTACAGTTTTATATTTTGATGTCATATATCTGAAAGTTATTACTTATTGGAGAAGAATTCGTTGAAGTTGAAGCAGATATTTTATGTGATTTACCTGAGTATGATCTTCCTGTCCAAGATAAATACCAATGATGGCATCTATAGTTCTATACTTTAAAGGAAATGCTGCTGAGTGCTATCTGAGATGAATCAATGTCATGGGTGCTTTTGCACTGATCCAACAATTAAGGAGAGTAAAATTCGATTCTGTTTCAGATTTTTTTTTAATTGTGTTGTTGAGTTATTTGACTCAATTTGAATTTTAAATTCGAAATTTTAAGTTCGAGTCGAGTTTGAATTTATAAAGCTTGAATAATTGAAAAATAAAAAATTAGCCAAGTAAATTAACAGTTTTACAATTTGATCCATGATATATTTTTTCAATTCCTCTTCCATTATAAGTTCATTTTTCATCAAATTTGAAAAACATACTTGAACCATTATAGAATTTTTGTCTTCAATTTATTTTCTTACAAAAAATTGTCTTTTACAGTTTAACAAAAAAAATTAATAATAAAATATAATTTATCAACTTGATTGATTTAATTTTTTAGGCAAAAGGGTATGTGAGGCCCTCATACTAAAAAAAAACAATTTGACCCTCGTAATTTTTTTGCACCCAATGTGGCCCTCAAACTTAGAAAACAAACTGAATGTGACCCTTTGACCAACAATTTCCGTTATTGACCGTTACGGTGCTGATGTGGAGGTCCATAGTGGCTGGTGATGTGACAGATAGGTTAAACTGATTTTTTAGTCAAATTGAGGGTCAAATTGATTTTTTTTAAGTTTAAGGCTTATTTAACTTTTTAGAAAAAAATATTTTAGATTTTAAATTTTAAATTTAAACTATACAAATATAGAAAAATATTAAATATAAAAAATACTAAAAATAAAAATAAAATAAAATAAAAACAAATTAAATATATTTTAATTTTTTTAAAATTAAATTACTAAGGAAATATGAAAAACAAATGAAACTTGACCATCCAATCAAATATACTTGCTCGAAAATATTTTTTTAAAATTATGATACTTAAATTATTTTGAATCTCAACCTTTAAGTTAAAAATAATAATTTTAAATACATATAAATATAATAAAATATAATAATAATATCAAGTAAATTAATATCCAATTGATAATTAAATAAAATAACTCGAAGAAATATATTTATATTAACCTTATGTTTTTAATTGTTTCCAGCGTTTATACAAATTCTTTCATTTTGTCGTCACAATCTTTAAATATTTATACCCTTTGTACATTCAGTTTTAGATCATCCATAATCCAAATCATTCAACTTTTCAAAGGAATCAAATTTCTATATTTGTATAGTTTAAATTTAAAATATAAAATATTTTTTTGAAAAATCAAATAAGCCTTTAAACTTTAAAAAATCTAATTTGACCATCGAACTCAACAAAATACTTCATTTAACCTCATCTTTCACGTCATCTGCCACATCAACACTGTGAAGTGTTACATCAATATCGTAACGGTCAACGAAAAAATTATTGATTAAGGATTATGTTAAATTTATTTTATAGGTTTAAAGGTCGCATTAGTGGAAAAAAACAACGAATGTCACATTATTTTTTTAAAAAAAAAAGTGCGAGGGCCTCACCTCCTTTTTTTTGCCAAATTTTTATTCAACTATGTCGAATAGCCACCCTTACAGCTGATGCTCTATCTTAGGGAAAGTTTTAGAAACTGCACTTAACATGTGTTATTTACATTATTATTTTGGAACATGATGCTCTCAATCTAAAATTTTAAGAACTTTGGATTTGAATTTTACTAGTATTATCAAATGTGAAATTCAAATGGTACCGGAATTTGATTATGACATGTAGTAGAGGAATAATGATGAAAATATTATTTAAATGCTTTGTTGATTATTTATTAATATTATATAATTATTCATTCAGAAATATTAGATAATTATAATTTAATTACACTTTTATAAATATATTATATCTTATATCCAATATATGATATATTTAAAATACATGAAACAAGTACAACGTGTTTTATTTATTTTAATCTTAGTTTATTAATATTATTAGTTCATTCTTTGATATTGCATTACCATTTAGATGATAATAATTTGGCAATTTCATTAAATAAATAACAATTTACTTAAATATTTAGATAACATTATTTACAAATTTGTTTTACATTTCCAAAAAATTTGAACCGTAGTAGATTGGTACAAAACTGGGGAAATAATGGAGCAGAGCGGGAAAATTGTGTCCGAAATTAAGAAAGTTAGCAAATTGTCACCAACACTACCACCTACCTCCTATCTCTCACTGTATAACCAAAAATTACCCCTTTATTGGCTCTTTGATCTCCCAATGTGGCAACTTCTCTTGGGCGCTGGCTGTTGCAGGATCCACCGGATTCCTGCTAAAACTTCTTTAACCCTCTCCCAACGACCCCATTTCTCGAGATTCCCCGAACGCCAAATCTTGATCAAGAAAAACAAGATCTTCGTCTACAAAATGGGTTTTTGGAATCTGGGTGTGAGAGCAATTGTGAGGAAAAACAGAAGCAAGGTGGGATCTTTAGATTTTCCAGTTCAGACTCTGCTGAAAATCTGGGGTTGAAGCCAAGTATAAGAGTTTAAGAAAAAGGTCGCCTTGAAACAGGGCTGAGAAGAGATCAAGTGGTGGCGGTGGCGGTAGTGGTGGTGTGGGGGGAATAGAAAGAAGGTTGCTGTTTGCTTGAAGAAGAGACTAAAAATGTGGCCTATCAGTGTGGGACATTCCCTCCTAAGTATGACCCTGTTCATATTTTGATCTTTTCACTAACTTTTGTTGAGAAATTCTGGATTTGATCTTTTGCTTCTTCATTTAGGTCTGGAAAAGTTAGAATTTGACATCTTTGTTGTTCATTCTTTGAAATTCGTTGTCATTGTAACATAAATTTCATGAAATACATATCTTTTAAGTTACACAGAAATGATTCCAGTTTTCATTGTGAATAGTCATTAAAAGATTGTTCTTTTGGCAAAGAAACTCCTTACTTTATAATTGTTGTAATAGAAAGATGAACAATTCTAGTTTTAATAAAGATTGTGTAAAGTTCCATGTTTGTTTCTCAAAGATATACCCATGCCATTTCCACTTCCATTTTAGTGTACATTAGCTGCTATAATCGCCCTTTAACGGAAAAACATTTATCTCCGTTGTCGGTCAAAATATCATTGGAAATCTTCGGTTACATATCACCAGCCCCGGTGCTAGTTCTATTGGCTTTGTTAGTTTGCATTGCACTGGTGTCATTGTACTTTAAACATGTTTAGTGCTCCGAGTTGACAATCTCGATTTACTTTGTATTTAACTCCTTAGACAGCTCTGTATTTCATTGGGGACTTGGCTTTGGTATATGTACATGATGTCAGCCGGGAGGATGAGATCGATAAAACTCAACTCGACCATAGATGAGATGCAAGAGTGGTCCAGCAGTTAAAAACTAAGCTATGTAAAAGAAAATCATCGTGCGATCTACAAGCTTCAAACTCTGCAAATGAAGTTTCAGGCTCAAAGAGGTTTAGTGGCAAGAATTCGCAGTTACTGCTCAAGAAGTCAAGTACTGGGAACTTAGACCACAATGATCAAAGACTGTAGTCTCTCCCGGTAATTGATGACCGCGATTGTGCTAGTGTTCTCACTGAAGAGCCTGAACCGGAGTTAGAGGGAATGGAAATGGATCAACTAGAGGCTGAGCTCGTGTTAGAACTGCAAAAATTGAGTGAGGTCTACTTTTTCGAGTACCTTTCCTTATTTTAATTACTTTACAAAGTTTGCCTTCTTTACCGGTTTATCCGTATCTCCAACACGCTAAATCTTTAGAAAGAGTTATCTCAAGTTGTAGTTAGACTTCTAACAACTATGAATCTTGAATCACGTTATTTTTGCTACTGACCAGAAAAGCTTTTGCAGACCGGGGCTTCAGCCAAAAGTCGGCACGATCTGATGGAGGAGGGCTTTCATTATACCATGCCAGGGAGTATTGCCATCCGAACTAGATCAGAAACTATGCCATCTGTTAATCGAACAGCAGGAAAAACCAAATCGGGGAGCTAGAATCCGAATTGGATTCTGTTCAACCAAAACTCCGCACGAAGGAAGCCGAACTCCAAGCACTAAAGGTTTGTGTTAGACGCCTGACTAACTTCTCCCTGTCGACCGTCTACGGTAACATAGATCAGATGCATTGCTGCTCTATTGTTGTCTCCGAAATAACATACTGTCCTCATTCTCAGATGATGACACCAAGGCCCAAGGGGATCAAGAATGTATGAAGGACAGGATTGCCCTACAAAAACCGGATCTGAGACGACGAAATCATCGGTCGCATGAAAAGACATGGAGTTTTAGTCCCCACTGATATTGCATAACTCACAGTGTAGGTCACACCATTGTGAAAATCAAGCGTGTGAACCCTTCAAGTGGTTCAAAAATTGACTTAGGTCTAGTTCTTTTCTCGAGTGCCTTAGAGAAACCCTGTAATCATAGTTGACTTTTTGTGCTGTTATAAATATATCTCTTTTTTTCATTTAGGTATTTAATTTTTTTTATCATATAGATGTCTAATGTTATTAATGTATCCTTTTATGTATTTAGTCTATACAATAGTTAAAAATTTTTGTTAAAAATCAGTTCAACTAATCAATGTTTAACATATAGCCTATTTTTAATTCCTTAGGATCGTGGATCGAGTCTCACCGGGGCAATTCATAATTTGGAGGTCTCATAGAAGTTGTTCTTAACTTGGCGTTGGAGGCAGTTTACTATCCTACTCTTTACCTCATTACATATGGGAATAAGGGTCAGCTCATTCCACAATTTGTAATATCTTAATTCTTAAATCTCTAAATTTTAATTGTTCTCGCATCATTTCACCGAAGTCATTGTTATTGTTGTCAAAAACCACCCATCAGTCGTTGTTTCACTACCAGCCCCCCTTTGCCGTGGATAAAATACGAATTAGGTTTAGAGATTTAGAAATTAGGGTATTATGAAATGTGGGATATTTTGTGTAAAATATAAAATTATATATATTTTTTAAAAATAAAATAAAATTAGTCACCTGTCAACACTGCTTGGTTGATTGATTTTTAAACGTAATTTTTAACAATCATCACGGATTAGAGACTTAAAGTGATAATATTAGACATCTATATTAACTGAAAAAAATAATAAATGTGAAAAGAGATGTAAATTGGATATTATTTTTTATATTAAACCCTTTATATGATGGAACCATTTCACATTATCAGGCGCTATTGAAGGTATTGAAAGCAATAATAGAAGGCCAAAGCAGCCATGATTCCAAGAGCTTACAGAACTTTGTGATTATATAAAAAAGGGTGATTGATTCTCTTAAAATCTCACTTTTTACTCATGGTAAGTTGACTGCTTTTCCATACATTTGTCATAATCATTTTTTTGTAAAACAATTAAATATTATTTTTAAAAAACGATTATAACTTTAATTTAAAAAAATTAGAGATTATGGATTAATTAAAATTAAATTGAAAATGAGTCGCCATCGACCTTTGGGTTAGGTAGGTCGAATACCTAAAAAACGTTTTTAATTTAAAAAACAATTTTAAGAAAATCATTTTTTTATACAAATACAAGTCTGCGTTATCAGAAGAAAATTAGGGGTTCGGAAGTCGGTTACGTCTGGAAAAGATAAACATCCACAACGCCCACAATCGGTACTTAGTCGCTTATATATCGTCATAAATGGTAGAACTTAAAGTTTGAATCAGAAGTAAAAATATGATCTATTTATTGAAATTTGTTAAAAATAGAAATACTTCACTGGTAAGAAATCTCAAGATTTGCAATCCTCCAACGGGAAAGCTATCTCATCTATTTCTTATCTATAAGTATATTCTATCTTTGATTACCACCAATAATATCGACATGAGTAGAAAATAAAATATGCTTAATTTATCTAAAACATGTATCGTTAATATTAACATAAAAACCATTAATACAATAAAAATTATAAAAATAGAATAATAAATAAATTATGATCTATTTATTGAATATTAGTTAAAATAAAAGAAAAAACCCTTTCTTGACAAGAAATCCCGATATTTGCAATCCTCCGTCGGAAAGCACCTCGTCTATTTCTTACTTGTAAAGAATATTTTTTCTCTTTAAATTAAAAAATAATATCGAAAATTGACATAAAATGCATTTTATTTTTCCAAAAATACATCACTCATATTAAGATTCAATGAAGAAATAATAATAAAGATTAAAATTTAAATATAAAAATATGAACATCAAATAAAAAATAGAATAACAATAAAAATAATTTCTATAAGCTTGTAAAAGGAAGAATTTGCATTTTTTTCATTCTTGTTTGAATGTCGTATTAGATTGTACCACTTCGATCAAGTGATACTCTCCACGCCCATTCTACAAATACGTGTTCTTGAATACATTCGAATAACACATAAATGAGTAAAATTATAGCTAAATGCATATTTAAACATGTAAGAGATTATAAAAAGAATAAAATTGAAATAATAAATAAATATGCGATAATATAACACAAAATAAACATATTTAGTGTATATATATATACGTTATCTATAAAATAATGATTTATTACACAAAGTACTATGCGTGAGTTGTAGAAAATATAAGGGAATATATATATATATATATAATAAAAATAAATATTACATCATGTTGACCAGATCTAAGAATAATCAGCCTTAAGATTATACAACAATGATGAGAAGAACAAGGACCTGATAATAAATTTCAGAAAAGAAACATGCCTAGAATCAAATAAAACCAATACCAATAAGATTAAAATGGAGATCTACAAAATAATGCACGAAATTAAATGACGTAAAAAAAAGAAACAACATGAAATAAGGACTGGAATGAAGCAAATCTAAACTCTAAGGCTCAAAATCAAATAATTACACAAAACATGTAAATGAGGACTAAACGAACACTATACAAAACAAGCAACCAAAAATCTAAACACTTAGAAAATATAATACTAATCATATAGGATTAAAACGAAACAAGAAATAAATAAAGAGCTCAAAATAGAAAGTGAAATTTCATTAAGGATCATATTACAAACATTACAAAGCTAAAGGGATTTAAAATGTAATTTACCCCGAAAATGAAAAGAAACGCGTGAGATTACAGAATTACGATGACCTATTCTGATTAACCCTAATATGAAACACGTAGACCTCCCTTAACCCTTAAACGGTGTCGTATTGATTAAAACCCAAAATAGGGTTTCATCTCTCCCTTTAACCATTTCATTTGCTCTTCTTTCAGCAAAATCACAAACAGAAAGAGAGAGTTTCTCTGCTACAACCCTCACGCCGCCGTATGTGGCAAACAAAGCCCCGGCCACCCGCGAACGGTGGCCACGGGTTAAACGCCATAAAGCCCCTCCTCTCTTTTTCCTCTACTTTCCTAAAAACCCAACATAGAAACAGAGCCCCTTTTCCCACAACCAAACTAAAACAACTAAATCTTTACCTTCGAAACAAAAGGGGTTTGGTCCAGTGAAGCTCACGACGGTGATAGCTCGGAAGGTAAGACCTTTCGGTCTTTTTTCTCTTTCTCTTGCCTGCCTGGTTTTTATTTTTTTTTCCTTTTTTCTTTTTCGTGTCCTTTTTCACGGATTACTCTTCTGTTCTCTTTATGTTGCTTCCATGTGGATTTCTGGTGAGATGATATGATATCTAGGTAGATAGGATTTGATTTCTCTGATTTGGGTGAATAAATCCAGATTTTTTCGGGATTTTTTGGGTGTTATTTTAATGGGTTTTTAGATTTGGGGTAGTTTAGGCCACTGTTCTTTGATTTGGTTACTGTTTTTTTTACAGGAACCGTCACTGTTGATGGATGGACTCCTCACAGCTCCGATGACAGCGGCGGTGAGGGAAGCAGTCGGCTTGAGCGGCTGGAATGAAGTCCAAACGACAGCACTGGAAGTCCAACAGAGCGGCGGCTGAGTAGGGGATTAGGGTTTAAACCCTAATATGTTTTAGGGTTTGAAACCCTAATCTGCTAGGTTGGGTCTGGGTTAGCAGTGGGCTTCTGGTCTCTGGCCAATTGGGCTTCGGGTTGTTGTAATGGGTCAGCTGGGTCACTTTGTAATCAGCCTTAATTTGGCTGCAAAAATATAATTAATAATAATAAATAACGATAATATAATAATAAATAATAATAATAAAAGACCCGGACAAAAACGGGTGTCTACAGCTGCCCCTCTTTGCCATTCTTGTGTAGAATAGGGTAAAGATGAAAAGACATCAAGTTTTATCTGGTTCTCTCCCTTTCAAACTTAGAAATTGAATAATGTTTGTTGGGGACGACACTGCTCATACGTGATGAAGAGTTCGGGTCGTCTAAGGGTAGATGACATGGTTCATACATGATGAAGAACTCTGGCCATCTTTAGGAAGGGTGATAACTCGTTCCAACGTGATGAGGACGGCTGTTATCCTAATGTGACACTCTCCTACGTGATGAGGATCTAGTCAGGGGATGACACTGCTCCTACGTGATGAAGAGTTCTTGTCCATTTTATAGTGATAACATAGTCCTACGTAATGAGGACGGCTGTCAGCTGATGTTGACTGATTCATTGCTTTGCTAATGAAATAGATCTTGAAAACCCTGTAAAAAAAATGGTCATATGACATGATTTCATGCTGTCAATATGCTCTAAGAATGATCTAAATGCATGTTTTAAAGGGTTATGCTCAGCTCGATCCTAGCATTGGAATCTCCCCTGCTCCTTGATCGGAATATGCGAGATTTATGCATTATCCATGCCTGGTTACTACTTGACCCTCATTAAATATTCTTTGACTTGGTCCCTCCGATCTACCCGAGAGAGTTTATCTTGCCTCTTTGATTCTTTGGTTTTGATTGATTTTTCAGAGAAATTCATTCAGAATGGCCTCTCCTTATTGCATGCCTTTAAATTGGGACTTCTTTGCTTGGGAAAAGTATGATTATGTTGAAACTGATTTCTTTGATTTAAACCCTTTTTTTTTCAAGGTTTGCTTAATGATTTATGGGAGCGTGTCTTTGTATGTGTTCTCTGGTGAACACCTGTTTCAAAATCCCCATACTCTGACACTTTTCAGAAGGCATAATAACCGATGTTTATTGATTAGTAATTTGGTGAATATATGCGAGGACATTGAATCAAATTCAAAAATTTCACTGAAGATAGGTAATGAGAAAGTACAATCTTTTGGGACAAGAAACAAGTATATACAAAGGAAGATCAAGGACAATATAGTGAATATCAAATGCTGAATCCTTTTACTTCCTCACCCCAAATCTTTCTTGAAAGTTGACATGTGATTCGAAGATTCAGTTCGTACAAAAGATGTGTGAGCATGAGAGTCTTTCCCTGAACTGTCAGGCTTCCGAGGGAATCCGCCATTTCAACTTCTGGCTATTCGAGCCGTCCATTACGGATTTTCAACTCGAATCCTC